TTTAATTGTTGGTTCTTTATTATTCAGATAAGATAAAAATTCTAATAAATAATAAAATAAAAATTGAATTTTTTGGAAAAATCGACCTCTTACCTATGAAATTTTCGACCAAAAATCAAAATTTTGCAATCGCGTTTTTTTCCCTTATTGGATTGTTTCCGACCTAAGAAGGTGCCCGATAGCGAACATGAAAGTTGTGGGTCGAAAATAAGGAAGATATCATCCGTTGAAGATTGCGACCGTTCAAAAGAGTCAGAAAATGTTGATTATTTGGGAACTGGAAAGGCCCCGGTAGTTTTTAATTAGTTCGTTGCATTCCTTGTTTCTTTCCGATGAAAATGATGTAGCAGTCGAGGTATTTTGAGAAACTACAAAATCTTGAAGTATTATGGAACCTCTTCCGACTTATATATGCGATATAATGCATCCCACTGATTAGCATCTAGGAGTATTGAAAAACTTGCCAGACCGCATGAATAAGGAACGAATCTCTCGCACGACTCCATTTAAGAGCAAACAGTTGGATACCGTTTGCGACTACAGCTTTTAGCCCTTGTCATCGGTTCATTTTTAACAAGCGCGCTTCGTATGCAAATTTTCTTTTGTTTCCTCTACAGCGGTCTGGACCGTAGGTATCTAGGTTGGTATCTCGTGGGTTTTATTTGACCCGAAAAACAAAGAAAGCCGCAGCTCATAAATATTCTTTCCTCGACCTCTTTCCTCTTGGGATACCAATCTTACGAGAAACGAGCCAACCATCAACCATAGATAGTCGAGATATTTCAAAGCAAGCGAAAATTGCAACCTAGTTAGTATAGACTGTTTTTCTGGTAATAAAGGCGCTGGTGGTTGCCGAATTATGCCAGAAGTCATACAAAATGTAATTAGTAACAGTAAGTAAACGTAAGGCAGTAAAATGTGATCATTTTTGAACATCAATAAAAACGATGTTATTAACAAATTTTATAATTTATTCTTGCTAATATTTTTCTTTGCTCTTATACACACAGGGTGATTAAAAATTGGCGCGATTCCTTTGAAGGGCCTACAGGGCATCACATTTTTTGCGCAAATTTCCAGAAGTTGAACCAGTTGAAGATCGGTCCCATCTTTGATTGGTAACCTATTGAAATACTTAACCGTTCGAAAAGAATAATTACGCTCTTTACTTCAAATTACGAACATTTTTGATATTAAAAAGCCACTCTTTTACAACTTGCTAATGAAAAGTCAAAGCAGCGATGATATTTTTTGTTTTCAAACGTTTGTTTTCATTTGACGCTCATTTTCACATCATTCCCGAGAGAACTAAATGGTCTTTTTAGAAAGTGAATCGTCGATAAGGAAATGTTGGCAGATTTCTCGAAAAAGTCTTGATTTCAAGAAGTTTCAGATGAGGGTGTTTTTTATGAGTTGCAAAATCGACTCAAGCATGATGCTGCTTTTTTCGAAATTTCTCAAGAACCATATGAGCTACAGAATTCGTTTTGGCATCGTTGGATAGAGAATTGAAAATTCGATTCAGTCTAACAACATGAGTGGGGAAATTCGAGTAGTTTTGACCCAGAAAGCGAAATTTGCATATACATTCAGCAGCAAACTCAGTCTTTTGTCTATCAAATTAGGAAAAATATCGGTAACACATATAAACCCGGCGAAGTCCGCGCTTGCATGCGTCCGAAAGTACATCAATCTCCTAATTTTAGAGCGATACAATAATTTTTTTTGTACATTTCATACAGGAATTTGTTGGAAACCAAATTTAATATACTGTTGTTTGTTTCAGGAACGTGTTACATCGGCAATAAAAATCTATTCACTCTCTGGTACCTAGCGTTAGTGCCGCACTTCCTTTATTTTTGCGCTGGAGGACTACTGCTAACGATAGGCTGGATCTTCGTTCTCAAGGCACCGAAGTTGCCACGGAATTCCTTATCGACGCCACTCACTCAGGGGCAGCCCCGCACGGAAAGGGATTTTCTGGGCGCTTTGGCAACATTGTATGTGGTTCCAATTTTTGTAGTAATGATGAGTTATTTCATCGAATATAGTGATAGGTGAGTACAATCATGCAGGCATTAAGTTCAGATTAGTAGGTATCTAAATTTCTAAGTATGTAGTTCAGTAGTCATTTCTTTCTTACACGCTCTTGTAATTATACTCAGTAACTACGTATAACTCAAAAAATACGAGTAGGTAATATTAGGTACCCGCGCTTTTCTGCCGTTCAAATCGTAGATGCATAGGAATGAAGTCGGAGAGCATATTTTTTGCGTTCTAGCGTGAAGTTCTAGAAGATTTCTTTGCACTTTTTGCCAGCTTAGATCTTGAAGCTGTATGAATGGAACCCATTACGATATTCCCTTTTATGGATAAACTTATATGTTTAGAAATAAGGAACCTTCTTAATACTATTGTTTTCGTTCCTGAGGTAATGTTTATTATTATTTGCAGAGAAAAATGGTTGAGTGGAGATCAGAAACCATCGATGTGGTTTTTTTTGCTATTGCGCCACTTCATGTCCTTATTTATGGGAATCAGTTCTGTTTTGTGGATTTGGTGTGAAAAATCCGCTCAAGTATGGAAGTCGGCTTTAAAACGTCTTGGGCCCAGGTTCAAGCCCAACAAAAATACAATAGCTTTAAAGTAAGTAAAATTTTCGATATATTATATACTGAGTGATTCAAAATTAGATCTCACTTGAAGAGTACGAAACGATTCAAACAATTTACAAATTAATTTTAAAATAATTAATTGGAAAAATGCTGAACGTACAAATCCATTAAGGGAGACTTTTTCGACAGCGATTTTTTGATTAGGCTGCTCTTACAGTCTTGATTAACGAGGGTTATTTACCTCGATGAAATAATAAAAAATTGAAAATATATTATTTTTATCATTTTTTTCTACATATCTGCATGCTTTGAAGTTAAGTTCTATATTGTTGAGGCGGATTCATTTTTTACAAACTTCTTTTTGGGTATTTCGCCTCAAAAATTTTTGTCTTTAAAAAAGACAGAATTT